TTATATTTTGGTTGGGCTAATAATGTGTTGTTTTTGCCATGCACACATTTAAGTTTTCATTTCATTACTTTTTTAAAGTTTTTATTTTAATGTCAAATGTTTCAGGTTTTTATGACTTTTGGCTTTTATGGCTTTATGGCTTTGGCTTTTTTTTATTTTTTTTTATTTTTAAAGATTTTATTTATTTATTCATGAGAGACAGAGGAGGAGAGAGAGAGAGAGGGAGAAGCAGAGGGAGAAGCAGGCTCCCAAGGAGCAGGGAGCCCGATGCGGGACTCGATCCCAGGACCCTGGGATCATGACCTGAGCCGAAGGCAGACGCTTAACCATCTGAGCCACCCAGGCGCCCTGGCTTTGGCTTTTTTGTTGGAAAGTCCTTTTCTCTCCATATTTACTAAGGAATTATTTTTTTTAAGATTTTACTTATTTACTTGACAGAGAGAGAGACACAGCGAGAGCAGGAACACAAGCAGGGGGAGTGGGAGAGGGAGAAGCAGGCTTCCCGCGGAGCAGGGAGCCCGATGTGGGGCTCAATCCCAGGACTCTGGGATCACGATCTGAGCTGAAGGAAGACGCTTAACGACTGAGCCACCCAGGTGCCCTTACTAAGGAATTATTAAGCTGGGTTTTTGTATGCTATTTTAATTGTTCACATAAATAAAATTATACCATTTGTAGTATTCTGTATTTTTTTTCACTTAATCTGGATATCCCTGTGAGAACTAAAGATCCACTTCAATTATATTAGTGTGCTATGCCATGATACTGTTGTTTAGTGATTGATTATCCACTATTAATGGCTTTCAAGTGAGTCTCGGTTTTCAGTATTACAAACAACTAGGTGGGACAAATTTTGCATGTGTCCCAGTGAGTTGTGAGGCTGGGATGTGTGAGAAAGAGCACAGGGGTGCAGGCTTAGGACGTACTTGTTCCATTTGTTTTTTCACTAGCAGGGCCCCCTAGTGGCTTAAGTGTAAGAAGGAGGATCAGACGGGAGCCTGGGCTTCTCTGATACAGCATAATGAAACTAAGGGGCCTTCAAATCTTCTGATTCAACTCTCATTTGACATACAGGGAAACTGAGACTCATGTAGGAGGACAGTAGCTCATCCCAGCTCAGCAAGCACAATAACCCCAGAGATTGGCCCAGAACCCAGACCTCTGAGCCCCAGGTTGCAGCTCTGCCAGTGTCAGGCTGTTCCTTATATGGTGTGACCTCTCATTCCTGGACACGTTTTTGGCAAGGTACAATCTCTCAAAAGGCTGGCTGAATAAATTTTGCATTCACTTAAGGAACTGTCTTTGGGTTATGAGTTTAGGGAAAAAGTGAACTGCTGCAAGCCCTCCCTCCCTTCATGTCTTCTCTGTCCTTAGTATCTTTTGTGGGAAAAACAGCCTCCCTTTTGGGTGCCTCTCCAACTCCACCAGCATGGACCAACTGTGCCGGGGCTGGAGTAGGGCATAGAGATTGGAGAGACGCCAGTCCTTAAAATGCAAGGCAGTTGAGACTCAGAAAGGCATATCTGTGCTGCTCTAGCATTTCTCTACTGGGGGCTCTAAGGGACAGCCAGTTGGTGAAAAAGCTGTGGGGAACTCTCCAGGACCTGTATTTGCATTGACAAGCATACTGCTTTAACTAAGACTCTGTTTATTTAATTCAAAAGGTATGTCCTGTCTCACTAACTACATTGTTGGCTTCCTGAGTACAAAAACTAGATCTGATGCTTCTTTGCACACTTCTGGGTCTCAGCACATTGCTGCATGTTCAGTTGGCTTCTGTCTCTCCATTCTTCCAACCCCTGGAAGTTAGAATCTTTATGTTAAAATTCAGTAATTATCCTCTTGCAATTGCATTGTTTAGCCCAATCGCTTTTATGATTGTTGGTCTTGTACCTCCAGTGAAATTACAAGCTCTTTATGGCAGGATTTGCAGAGGGTTCCCTCCACTGAACCTCTCTTCCTGGACTTCTCCCCTATTTATCTTGCCTTATTTACACAGGTATACTCTCACCCACTCTCTTTAGAAGAGAGCATAGATCCTAGGCTTTCCTCTATCAAATGAAGGGAAATTAATATTTTAATTTTATACCTTTGGTTTCAGGCACTGTTAATTCCTTGTTCTTATGATTCTTGTAACAGCCTGAGATGTCATTCCCACAGTAGGGGGCAGGCTTAGATTTCAAAAGCTGTTTCTATTACACAGGGAAAGGAGGGAACTCTTTTACAAGAAAATAAGGATTTCTTTTTTTTTAAGATTTATTTATTTATTTGAAAGAGAGAGAATGAGAGAGAGAGAGAGAGAAAGAGAGAGCACATGACAACATCGCTCGGCATCAGGGAAATCCAAATCAAAACCTCCATGAGATACCACCTCACACCAGTCAGAATGGCTAAAATTAAGTCAGGAAACGACAGATGCTGGCGGGGATGCGGAGAAAGGGGAACCCTCCTACGCTGTTGGTGGGAATGCAAGCTGGTGCAGCCGCTCTGGAAAACAGTATGGAGGTTCCTCAAACAGTTGAAAATAGAGCTACCATACGATCCAGCAATTGCACTACTGGGTATTTACCCCAAAGATACAAATGTAGGGATCCGAAGGGGTACGTGCACCCCAATGTTTATAGCAGCAATGTCCACAATAGCCAAACTGTGAAAAGAGCCAAGATGTCCAACGACAGATGAATGGATAAAGAAGATGTGGTATATATACACAATGGAATATTATGCAGCCATCAAAAGGAATGAGATCTTGCCATTTGCAACAACGTGGATGGAACTGGAGGGTGTTATGCTGAGTGAAATAAGTCAATCAGAGAAAGACATGTATCATATGACCTCACTGATATGAGGAATTCTTAATCTCAGGAAACAAACTGAGTGTTGCTGAGTGGTGGGGGGTGGGAGGGATGGGGTGGCTGGGTGATAGACATTGGGGAGGGTATGTGCTATGGTGAGGCTGTGAATTGTGCAAGACTGTTGAATCACAGATCTGTACTTCTGAAACAAATAATGCAAGATATGTTAGGAAAAAAAGAAAAAGAAGATAGCAGGAGGGGAAGAATGAAGGGGAGTAAGTCGGAGGGGGACACGAACCATGAGAGACGATGGACTCTGAAAAACAAACTGAGGGTTCTAGACGGGAGGGGAGTGGGGGGATGGGTTAGTCTGGTGATGGGTATTAAGGAGGGCATGTTCTGCATGGAGCACTGGGTGTTATGCACAAACAATGAATCATGGAACACTACATCAAGAACTAATGATGTAATGTATGGTGATTAACATAACAATAAAAAATTTAAAAAAAAAGAGAGAGCACACGAGGGGGGGAGGGTCAGAGGGAGAAGCAGACTCCCTGCTGAGCAGAGAGCCTGATGCGAGACTCGATCCCGGGACTCCAGGATCATGACCTGAGCCGAAGGCAGTCGCTTAACCAACTGAGCCACCCAGGCGCCCCAAGAAAATAAGAATTTCTAGAGAGAAACCACCCCTCTCTCTTCCTTCCCTTCCCATGCCCATTTCTGGAACCTAGAACTGGGTTCTGCCAGCATATTCTGACTGGCTAACAAAGGGCTCAAGGAATATCAAAGCAGGGATGTGTCTTGACTAAGGGCACTTTGAGAATTCATAGCAGAGAACGCATCAGAGAATCCACATCTCTCAAGCCCAAGGTAGGAGGTGGACTTTCCAGGGCACCAAATGAGGCCTTACAACAGGCTAGGCATACCTAGAAATCCAGTCTGCTTTGCTAACAAAAGGCCCAATGTATGCAGGTCTACACATCCCGGGGAATCTTTGCTTACCTCTACTGGCCCTCCTTTAATAAAAAGGCAAGAACATTCTCTGCTTTGTCTGAGACAAAAGCAAACAAGTAAGGAAATGGATTTTATTTAGATTGTAATAGGGAGAGCTCTCCAGATATGAAGATCAGAGTGCCTGCCGAGGTTGTTTTTGCCTTAAACTTTCATAGGGAGGAAAGTGGGATGATTTACAATCGGAAGAAGTTTCAGTCAGTCAGGTGAACAGAAAATGTTTATCTCTGTGTCTAGCTAGTTTCAGTGCGGAGGGCAGACTTCTAATCTCAGCCAATTATTCATGAAACAATGAACAGGAAGTTGCAGGGTCTGAGTGGCCCTCGGGAGCAGGCTCAGACACAAGGGGACAGGTCTCTGCGGGGGCCTATGTTACAAGCTAACAAAAGGGTCATGAAAGAGTGGAGAGTGAGTTTTATCTAAGTCATAGAGAGAAGGGTGGTTCTTTACAGAAAGCTCTTCAAAGATAACTGATAGGTCACGAGGTTTCTTAACCATTGCTCTTCACCAGGGGCACAGGGCCCAAGTAAAGCTCAACAATGTCTTTCATCAGGGGACCCTTTTGGAAGTAAAAACTTCTCCGTATTACTGACCAAATGGCTTCTTAAGATGGGAATAAAGTCATTATTATTTTTAAGTAGCTCCATGGGGGGCTTGAACTCACAACCCTGCAAGACCTGAGCCGAAACAGTCCGACGCTTAACCGACTGATCCACCCAGGCGCCTCAAGTTGTTATTTTCAAAAGAGAAAAAAAGGAAGAAAAATGCCCTGAAAGGAAGCCCTTTCAATCACGCCAGTTAGTAACGTACCACAGTGGCCAAAGCTTCGAACTACAAGTCCCAGAGAGCAGTGCGCCACTTCCCTCCCGTACTAAGGGCGGGAATCGAGCGCCTCACTGCATGACGGGAAGCATACTTAATTTGCCGTATAATGAAAATGTAGCGGGTCTTCATTTTCCAGAAGCATAATTCAAGAAGATCTTCAAACAAGGCGCACGGGCAGAGAACCAATAAAGTAAGGTTATCAACTCCGTGGGGGAACATAACCGGCTCCTGAAAGGAAGGTATTTTACTGAAGCTGGAGCTCCCGCTCAATTTACCCAGTAGTCTCTTTTCCGGCCAGGCTGTGCGTCATTACCGTTGCGTCTTCTTATTGGCCAGATGATAGGGGACGGCGCCTGCGCGCTGCATTCCTCTGAGGGTCGTGGGCAGACGCCATTTTCGCCCCAGAGGTGCTTCTGGGAAGTAGAGCGCGGATCCACACGCCTGCCCGCTTGCCAGGTACGGCCTCTTGTGCCGGGGCTTTTAGGTCCAAGTGTTTGCGCCTGCCGCTGCTGCTGTTTTATTCTCCGCACTCTCGAAACCCTCTAGTCGAGCGGGAGCTTCTGAGCATCGGGCCGCGCCATCGGGGGGTCACATCGCCTGGAAGGAGGTGACGGGGGCGGCGCGGGGCGCGGACACTCCCCGCCGAGAGCCCGCCTGCCATGGATTCGGAATATTACAGCGGCGACCAGTCAGGTGGGGCAGGGACTTGGGGGACAGGGCTTGGGGGGCGGAGCAGTTATTCAGCGGGGCTTGGCCTCTCATCCTCGCGGGGTAGGGGAGGGAGGCCCCTGAGACGTTCCTTCCCCCAACTGGGCCCGCCTTGGACCGTGAAGCGGAGCGCGAAGAGCCCGCTGACCCGCTGCGGCCCCGAAGTTAGAACCTTGGAGAGGGGATTCTAGACGGAGAGCCCTCTTCTGAATCGGTGAAGTTTTTTGCTGAAACTGGGAAGCCACTTCCATATTTTAAGTGCTTCTATGTGTAAAGTCCTAGGGAAGGTCTCTCCAGTTACGGATTTTTTTTTTTTTTTTCCTGGAGTTGCGAGTGTTTTGCGAGAATTCAAGGGAGCGGTTCAGTAGGGGGTGCGGGATCTTTCCTAGACTTTTCACACGGAGTTAGAGCTGGTTTAATCTCGCCGTTGACAGTGGTTTCGAAGTAAAGAAAACGTAGGACCTTTGTTTGAGTTGTATAAATATTTTAGAGTAAGGCGTGTACTCTGGCACTTACTGGTGATTTTGTGCCTTTCCTTCACCTTGAGACCTTTCCTCTTAATCTTTGTTTCCTGTTTATTCAGTAAACACTGGGCACCGTGTTTGCTAACACTACTAGGCACCGGAGATACAAGGACGAATAAGGCATGACCTAGTGGGGAAGAACTTTACATTTCCTTTCACTTTGTGTCCTAGTTCCATGAAGTATTCTCTGTCCGGAGTGCCTAAATGTCTGAATGTTAATCTTTTTTCTGTTTTGGGGTTCACTTCGATTCGCTGTATGATAGCGAATAGTGATGACTACAAAACGCGTTTCCAGGCATGCACTGCTGTTTTGCTTAGAATGTTTGCCTGATATTTTCAGAATAGTTTTCAAAATAGTTCTTTCTAAATTATTAAATTATTTTTCAAATAAGTAATATGTAATACATGTCTATGGGTTAAGTGCTGGAAGACTTGAAAAAAATAACAGTTCCCTTACTTTTCATTCTTATAGCCGTTTTTTTTTTATTTTTACCTTCATATTCTTAATTTATGCTCTTTCTTGTTGCATCATTTTTAGGCATTCCATAATGATTCCTTTTTGTGCTAGGACAGGATTTTAGCCTCTTCTCCCCCATACTCTCACTATTGCAGCATAATTATTCATTACATCAGAATTATTTGTAATTTGTATAAATATTCTTTACTTCTTAGCTAAGTAGAGTAGCTTGTTAGTATGATAGTGATTTCATGCTTATACAACTTTTTGGTTTTCTGTAGTCGACGGCTTCATTTATTTTTATTAAACTTATAATCAAATCTTCCCATATGCTCCAACAGCCCTAAATCCCTCTCAAAATACAATTTTACTTTATATTTTTAAAGGTAGGTAGCAATTCATTTTTACCATTTTGTAGCAGTACAGCATATGCTTTACTTTAAGTTTATACTATTTCTGTACTGGAGTTCCTTGTGCTCTTCATTCATAAACAGATATTTACTGTACTGTGGCAGGCAGTGTTCTGGGCTCCAGGGAATCAGCAGTGAACCAAAATCCTTGCTCTTTTGGCTCTTTCATTCAAGTGAGAAAAGACCCACATTAAACAAAATAACTTGGTAAGTCATGTAGTACATTAGAAGGTGGTAAGTAAGTGCTGTGGAGAGAATAGACTGAGGTGTTAACGTAAAGTTGAAATAGTTAAAGAGCACACTATTATTTAGAGGTTGTTCACTTGGTCCTTAGTGATGTTTCTTAAGGTTCACATTTCTTTCATGACGTATTTTTGCTGCCACATATGTCACAATATGTGTTCTGATTGTTGGTATTTATATATAAGCGTTGTACCGTTGTCTTATTTACATTAGCATCATTAGTCATGCTTCATCAGTGGTAACCTTTGCTCTTACATTATTCTTGATTCATTGTGTTCATTTCAGTTGTAGATGTCATCCATCTTACACCTTAAGTGGGTTTTTGTTTTATTTTTAAGCAGATGATGGTGGCGCTACCCCAGTACAGGATGAACGGGATTCAGGGTCAGACGTTGAGGATGATGTAAATGAGCAGCACTCTGGATCAGACACTGGAAGTGTAGAACGTCATTCAGAGGTATTGGCTAAACAACATCTTTGGGGAGGCTTTTCCCTTGCATTCTGTGAGACGTGTTTTTGTTTAGGAGTTGTAGAGATCCTGTCACATGGTGTAGGCTTCAAACCCTGGGAGTAAAGGATTTTAAATTAATAGAGAACTGCTTTAAAAATAAATAGGGATAGTCTGGTTTCTTAGGAAATCTCAGGGAAAGAATTTCTGATTGGGTCCCTCTTCAGATAGTAGGCAGTTTTCAAATGTGCATATTGATTCAGAAAATGGACCAGGCCCTTTGATACTTGAGTAGGTCTCCCCATTCCCAAAATGATGTCTGATAGGGGCAATGAGCATTTGCAAGCTGAAGAAATATCAATTGGGATAGAAAGTTATGGGGATTATCACCTATCAGAATTCTTATCAGGATTTGGCTTTCTCAGTCTGAACTGTTCCAGTGTGTATAATGTATGTAATGATATCAAATAGAATTTAAAAAGCTGTTTTTGATTAATAATACAGAGTAGCGTTGGATCTTGTGTACAGCATTTCAACATATTTGGCCTAATAAACATTTTAAAAATATTTAATTTGCTTCCCTGGTTACACAGTCTGTACTACACAGTGTTAAAAAAAAATAAAATTGGGACATTTTTCCAGTAATTCAGCTATACGTTTTTGGTAAACAAACTGAAACCCATAGGAATGATAAAGATGATGAGATTTTTCTTTTAAGAAGTTCATGTGTCATATATTTTATTTGATTACACAGGAACAGAAAATTGTCCAATTTTAAGTAGGAGATACAATTATTAGAGATTGTATTATTGATTCTGTCCTTTGACATGTCATGAGTGTGTTTAGACATCCAACAAATATTTATTGAGCATCTGCTGTGTGTTGGGTTCTTTTGAACTATCCAGGACTAGATGAGGTCTCACCATCACCAAAGTACTTCTCTTCTGGGATTTATTTTTCATAAGGGGGAGAAAGACAGTATTTTTTAAAAATTGAGTAGTTTGTTAGGAGATGATAAGTGCTGTGGAGAAAGAAGAAAGTTAGAAAAGGATGAAGGGTGCCAGAATAGAGGGCAGGTTCTGTTGTTAAATAGGGAGGTACACATAGGCCTTATTAAGAAAGTGACTTTCAATCAAGGCGTGAAGGGAGGTAAAGGAATAGCCATGTGGCTGTGCAGAAGAACACACACACACACACACACACGCACGCACACACACACACACACACACACACTATTCTGGGCAAAGACCCTAAGGTGTGAGTGTGCTTGATGTGTTCAAGGAACGCCAAGGAGCCAGTGCGGCAAGAGGGGAGTAGGGAGGGGACACATGAGATTGGAGGCTAAATGGACCGGGAGAAAGGCATATCTTTTAGTTATTTTGATGCCACTCAGTTTTTTGTATGCTCTTAAGTATTTAGACTAAATTCTAATAATGTATTAATTGATAGGTAGAAATTACTTGATAATGTAAACATTGTTACAGTTAATTAGTGTGTAGGGCTTTATTAATGTTTCCACTTAGGAAAATAGCATGAGATGATTGACTTGGGGCTTCATGATTCAGTTGTAAATGTAATGTAGGCTTACCTTTAAGCATCTTCAACTACTTTTTTGTAATGAGGTGGATTCTAAATGTGCATGCTGAAAATTTGTAAACTGTATTAAAAGCTTAAAGAAGAAAATTAAAATCAGTATACTGTTACCACAGAAATGACTGTTAACTTTTTATATTATTTGTCCTGCATTTTTATTTTCTCATATATATAATGTATGTGTACATTTTAAGTTACTTGAGATTTTACTGTATATTTTGTATCTATATAATGTTTTTTATCTGTTCACTTAAAATTGTACCTAAGAATTTCTTTATGTCATTAAGGAGTTTCACTAAGCATAATTTTATGGCTTATATAATATTTCATAAAATGGATACACCATTAATTGTTCAACACTTTCCTGATTGTTGACCTATAGAGTGTTTCGATATTAAAAATGAAGTCTGCCGTGAACATATTTTTGTTCTTTCCATAGATAATCCCTTCCAGGAGGATTATCCTAATTTTTTAAACTACTAGGGTGTAGTTTGAGAGTGCCAATTTTACCCTTATTAAGTGTTGAGTGCTGCATTAATGCTCTTTTAGCTGTTTAAAATGGCTTCTCAAGAGAAATTTTGGATTGTTTTCCTATGAAAAATATTTTCTAGAAGGTAGTGGGATGTTAAAAGAGTACTGTTTGTATTAAATTGAACAATTCTGATGACAGGCCCAAAACCTTAAAAATGTGTATTAGTTTCCTTTTGCTGCCATAAGTTTGACACAAATCAGGTGGCATAAAACAAAAGAGATTTATTATCTTATAATTCTGGAAATTGGAAGTCTAAAATGGGTCTCAAGGGGTTAATGGGTTAAAATCAAGTTATTACCAGGGCCATGTTCCTTCTGTAAAGGAGAATCCATTTCCTTGCCTTCTCCAGCTCTGTAGATCAGTTGCATTTGTTGGCTTGTGGTTCCTTCATCATCAAAGCCAGCACCATAGCATCTTCAAATCTCTCTGACCTCTGCGGTCACATCTCTATCTCTTACTCTGACCCTCTTGCCCTCTCTCTTTTTTATTTTTTTATTTTTTATTAACATATAATGTATTATTTGTTTCAGGGGTACAGGTCTGTGATTCATCAGTCTTACACAATTCACAGTGCTCACCATAGTACATACCCTCCCCAGTGTCTATCACCCAGCCACCCCATCGCTCCCACCCCTCTCCACTCCAGCAACTCTCAGTTTGTTTCCAGAGATTAAGAAGTCTCTTACGGTTTGTCTCCCTCTCTGATTTCATCTTGTTTCATTTTTCCCTTCCTTCCCCTATGATCCTCTATCTTGTTTCTCAAATTCCTCATATCAGTGAAATCATACGATAATTGTCTTTCTCTGATTGACATATTTCGCTTAGTATAATACCCTCTGGTTCCATCCATGTTGTTGCAAATGGCAAGATTTTGTTTTGTTTTGGTTTTTTTTTATGGCTGCATAATATTCCTGTGTGTGTGTGTGTGTGTGTGTGTGTGTGTGTGTGTGTGTATATCACATCTTTATCCATTCATCTGTTGATGGACATCTTGGCTCTTTCCATAGTTTGGCTATTGTGGACATTGCTGCTATAAACCTTGGGGTGCACATACCCCTTCGGATCACTACATTTGTATCTTTGGGGTAAATACCCAGTAGTGCAATTGCTGGGTTGTAGGATAGCTCTGTTTTCAACTTTCTGAGGATCTTCCATACTGTTTTCCAGAGTCCACTTCCCTCTTATAAGGACCCTTGTAGTTATATTGGGCCTACTCAGATAATCCAGGATAATCTTATCTCAGGTTCCTTAATTACATCTACACAGCCCCTTTTGCATGTAAAGTTAACATGCACAAGTTCTGGGGATTAGGATGTGGACATCTTTTGGAGAGGCATTATTTTGCCTACCACAGGATGGTACTCAAAACATGGTTCTCCAATAATGTAAAAAAGGTTTTTCCCATTAGCATTTTAGATTTTAGGCTGGTTTCTGAAAAAACTCATTTCACTTATAGTATTCACTCTGTGTGTATTTGTTTAGATCTCTAAGGAAAGTTTTTAAAAAACTCAAGATAATATTTTTTAAAAAATTTTTATTGTGTTAATCACCATACATTACATCATTAGTTTTTGATTCAAGATAATATTTTTAAAATTAAGATTAAAAATATAAAATACAGAAAGTCAAGATAAGTAACAGTGCTTTGCTGGTCCATATTGGAGCCTACAAAAGGAAAAATCAGTAATACTGTATTTTTAAAATCTTGATATTTTGTTCATTATGGATTTTTCTACATCATCTGATCTTGAAAATTATCACTTGTCTTTTTTTAAAAACTGCTTTATTGAGATAAACTTACATACCCTACAGTTCACCCATTTAAAATGTGTAATTCAGTCATCTTTAGTATATGCACAGTAGTGCAACTGTCACCATAGTCAATTTTAGAATCTCTTTGTCACTTCAAAAAGAAACTCTTTAGGGCGCCTGGGTGGCTCAGATGGTTAAGCGTCTGCCTTCGGCTCAGGTCATGATCCCAGGGTCCTGGGATCGAGTCCTGCATTGGGCTCCCTGCTCCTTGGGAGCCTGCTTCTCCCTCTGCTTCTCTCTCTCTCTCTCTCTCTCTCTCTCTCCCTCCCTCTGTCTCTCATGAATAAATAAATAAAATCTTTAAAAAAGAAAAAAGAAAGAAACTCTTTAGCTATGACCTGCTTATCACTCACACCCTTCCCCCCTTCCCATCCTTCTGGACACTCCATATGAATGGAATTACATAATATATGGTCTTTTGTGACTGGTTTGTTCACTTAATGTTTTCAAGGTTTAGTCATTGTAAACCATTTATGTTGGAGGTATGTGTACACCATACCCATATATGTTGTAGCATGTATCAGTACTTATTTCTTTTTGGGGTAATATTCCATTGTATGGATAAACCACATTTGTTTATCCATTTGTCAGTTGATGGACATTTAAGTTTTTACCTTTTGGCTGTTATAAGAAATGCTTCTATAAACATTTACATAGAAGTTTTTTTTTTTTTAAGATTTTATTTATTTATTTGAGAGCGAGAATGAGAGAGAGAACACATGAGAGGAGGGAGGGTCAGAGGGAGAAGCAGACTCCCCGCTGAGCAGGGAGCCCGACGCGGGACTCGATCCTGGAACTCCAGGATCATGACCCGAGCCGAAGGCAGTCGCTTAACCAATTGAGCCACCCAGGCACCCACATAGAAGTTTTTGTGTGGACATGTTATTTCTCTTAGGTATGTGCCTAGGAGTGGAATTACTGGGTCATATGGTAACTTTATTCTTAATTGTTTGAGGAACTCTCAGGCTGTTTTCCACTGTGGCTGCACCATTTTACATTCCTAGTAGTAGTGTATGAAGGTTCTGATTTCTCTGTATCCTTGCCAACTCTTGTTATTACCTGACTCTTTGAT